ATTTCTCTGCTGCCAGTATAAAAATTAAAATAATATTTAGTTTTTTCCTATAAAAAAAGGGGGCCCTCCCAAAAGTCTAACAATTTAACCTTTTCCCAAAAAATTTTTTTGCCTTAAAAAAAACTGCTTTAATGTGCAAATTTTTTTAGACTTCATAAATTATTTGTCCTTTCCTTTTTAAAAAAATATGGGCTGTCTCCATGTGGATTATTGTTAACATTGAAAAATGTTTATTACAAATTTATTAATTCCCCATGTATAGTATTGACTTTACCCCCAAACATTATTTAGTACAAACTTCCCCTTTTTTATATATTGATTTCTGTCGTTTCCCCAAAGTTTTTACAAGCTTTCCCCAAAAGTGTCTCCTGTTTTAGAAATAAGGTCTTCCAAGTGTTTCAAATTTCTCCCTTTAAAAATGGTGAAAATTCTCTGAATTTTCGTTTAATACAACTCAAGGGGAATTTATCAACCTTTTTTCAAGGGTTTTCCCCTTTTTTTTCTATAAAACCCTTTAAATTTTTGAATTTGAATCATTCATGTTCACTTTTTTTCCTTTACAACATGCCAATTTTAAATTTAATGGAAAAAATTTTTTCTCTCGGGGATTTTTCGGATACCCCACTTTTAAAACCCAGGGTCCATTCACTCATTTTCCCGTTCAAACTTTTAAAACCCCTTTTAACTTTTGTTCATCATAAACAGAAAAATCAACCTTCACTTTTCCTTTAAAATTTAAATAAAATTTCCATCCCAAACCGTACTAAAAGAAAACCCTTTAACCCGGAAAGAAAAAATAGTTAAAATACAGGGGCAAAAAAGCTGTGTGGTGTGTCTGTTTTCCATTTATATTTATAAAAAATAGTTTTTAAAGGGAAAAGAATTTTGATGCGCATGGGAAAAAGCCAGTTTGAGCTAAAGAGGCTCTTTGTTGGCACTATCGTCAGGGGGAGGGAAAAAGGGCAGGAGGAAGCCTCCGCTCAGCTGAAATCATTAAGGCTTATCGCGAAGGCGGGTTTATTTTTTTTTTGTCTTTTTCAACATACCCCATCACTGATTTTTCATTCTGCTATAATTTCTAAAAGTACGTGAGCATTAAGTCATACAACTTCTGGGTTAAAAAGCCAAAGGGTTTAAACGTAATTAAAAAGGGGGAAAACATGCTCATTTTATTAGCCCATAATTGTATCGGTTTATCAGCCCTAACTCGGGAAACGAAACACCCAGCGAAAAAAACGATCACGTAACTCTTTTTGACCCCCTGTGTGCATGGAAAGTAGAAGTTATTGCTAAGTGCTGCCCCACTGTGTTTTTTCATTTGAATGCTTTTGTGAATTTAATTTTTTTAATTGCTCTTTAATGACCTAAGTATTAGTGGGTGAACAATTTTTTTCCTTTTTTTTTATGTGTTTAAAATTTTCATTTTGGGCTGCAAATTTTTAAAAACTTATTAAATTTAAAATTTAAATTTATTGATTTTTTTAATACGCCGCGGGAGAAAAAATAAAAAAAATAAATCCAAATCAAAGAAAGCTTTTATTACGAAAAAGAGATTCTGGGTTTGAAAATAAGAAAGAAGAACACTGCAGTAGGCCTACTGGCCCACACTAGGGAGGTCCTAGTCACATCCAAATTAAGATGGAAGGAAAAATACTGCAAGCCTATTAGCCCCTGCAAAGCGGTCCCACCTCAAACCTACTCACGTTCCAGCACTCTGGGGACTGGATTACTCATTTTTCCCCAACTATTAAACCAATCCAGTCTTTTTAAAAACTAAAAAATTTTTTAGCTTGAACCCATTTCGCGAATCCTGTTTTGGTTTTAAAAAAGGAGAGAGAGCGAAGAGAGAGAGGGGAAGAGAGAGAGAGAGAGAGAGAGAGAGGGGAGAGAGAAAAGAGGGGAGAGAGAGAGAGAGAGAGAGGGGAGAGAGAGAAGAGAGAGAGAGAGAGAAGAGAGAGAGAGAGGGAGAGGAGAGAGAGAGAGAGAGAGAGAGAGAGAGAAAAGAGAGAAAAAAAGAGAAGGGGAGAGAGAAAAGAGAGAGGAGAGAGAGAGAGAATGAAAAAGAACTTAAAAATTTATATAATCTCTAAAAGCAAATATGCAGCCACGAAGCATTCATTTCATAATTTTTTTATTTTGAGAAGGCTAACTCTTATAGAAAAAGGAAAAACATATTTTTGAAAAGGGTTTAAAAAATTTTCTTTGAGCCCTATAAGTTTTTGACTTGCCATTTTACAATCCTTTCCCGTTAAAAAACCAATCTAAGTATTCCCAAACCCTTTAGAATGGTTTCCCCCTAGATTCATTTTTTTTGATCAAAACTGATTTTTAACCCCAACTTTAAAGGGCCCTTTAAAAAAAAAGGGTAGGCATAGGGGCTTTTCTTTTTATCTTTAAAAGCGTGTTTTCCTTTAAAAAATGGGGTTTAAAATAAAGCCGAATGTTTTAAATTCTCTTATATTTAAACAAAAAAGCGATACTTACATTTGATGATTAATTCATCGAAATAAAGAAAAGGGGATTGTTAGCTTTCCCCCATTCTAATTTAATAATAAGAGTGCTAGTTGGTTTTAGGGGAAAATTTAAAAAAAAAATTGAAAAAGACCAATTTTTTTTTAAAAAAAAGTGTTTCGAAGTTGCATCCCTACCCACTGGTACAATAAGCAAAAAACTCACAGTGAGAAAAGATGGGTTAAAAATTTAAACAGTTTAAAAAATATTTAAAAAAATCATAATAAATATAAAAAAAAATGACTACCAAACCAAACTTAGTAAAATTACAATAACATCAATTGCCAAAAAACAAAAACGCTCCCCTTAAAAAAATTTAAAAAATTTTTTTAGAAATGGGATATAAGTGATCACGTTGTTTTCTGTGGCCTCATACACGTTATGTAAAAAATTTAATGATGATGAGGCGAGTCTTGTGGCTTTAAAAAAAAATGTAAAAAACATTTATAAACATGAGAAACTTTAAAGGGAAAATTAACTTTGAATTTCTGAGGAAGAGTGCCCTTTGGGAAAGAAAAAACCTTACCCAAAAGAGGGTGCGATGACATTTTAAAAAATAGTAGGTTCCCCCACATGGTCATTTTAAAAAAGGAAAACTTAACAAAAAAAAAAACAAAACTGATAAAACAACCCCCTAGGCAATATATCCAGAGATGTAAAATCCTGTGTATATTTTTCGGGGGTTTGCTTTAAAAAACCCCTATTTTTTAAAGGGTTTTAAAAAATTTCCCTTTGGGAGATGGCACAAATGAAATAAGCCAAAAAACCCTTGTTTATCCCACGAGTTTTAATAGTAATAAATCATCCAACTAAACCCAAAAAACAACATCCCCACCAAAATTAAAAAGACTTTAAGGAAAACACATGAGAAAGGGGGGAAAATTTTTAAGGGAATATTATATTCTTACTTTCCCCGAAAAAAAAATAAACCTCAAATTTAAAATAAAAAAAAAAATGCAAAATATCTATCCCCCTCAAACCAAAAAAGCTATGGTCTTGTTTTTTTCAGGGGCCAACTGGGGCCTTTTACAACCAAAAACTAAAAGTTAATTAAAAGAAGCTCCAGGCCCCCTTTTCTAGCCCTTATAAAAAATGTCATATGGATTAAAGCTTGCCTTCTTGGTACTTTTGCCTTACAAAAAAAAATGAAAGAAATTAGACCCAAATCAAAAACCCCGAAAAAAATCGTAAAATTCATCCTGGGGCTTTGGGGCCCAAAGAACCGTAGCCCAAAATGAATTTCAGCAGTTGGGTATGCCCGAAAGTTGAAGACAGAGTTTAAAAAACTGAAGCTAAAACATGTTATAAAATTGCTCCAAAACAAGGCCAAATAAAAATTTCTGTCCCAATTTTTTCAAGGTTGGGAACCAAAGCAAAACATAGTACTAGGGGGAGAGAAACACAACTTTGTAGTAAACCCCCAGTCAGGGCCCCGGGGTTCAAACGCCCTTTTTTTTGTACACAATAAAGGGGAATTTGGAAAAAGACTGCCCCCACATTTCCAAAAACCAGTCATAGCATGAACCCGTTCAAGAAGGTGCCAAAAGGTTCCCGATGAAAGTAGGGTACTGAAAGGGGGGGGAAAGATTTTTTTAAAATTTTAGCAAACATAAAATGTAAAATTTACCTTTTTCCTAGTAAAAAAAGGGCCCTCGTATTTTAGTAGTCTTTTTTAAAAAAAACCTTGGGTAAATAATATTTTTTTTAGTATGATAAAAAGATGTTTTTCTTTATTGTAAAAAAAGAAAAAAATTATAACCTTTTAAACATAGTAAGGTAAAAGGACCCCAATGGGAAAAAAGTCACTCGTCTGACTTTTTTGGGGTTTTCCTAGGTTCTCTACAAATGCTGCAAAGTATGAAAATTCTATGAACTGAAATTTTTTTAAACCTAATAAACTCTTACTTCCTTTCTTACTTTCTTAATCCGTTTGGGAAAGACTTTGATTCTCTATAAGTAAATTTAAAGGTAACCTCTTATCTGTAGGGTCAACAGATTGATCCTGAGTATCTTTATAGATCGTTGTTAGATTATTGTTCTACTTTGCTTCCTAAGGGAGAGGAACTAAAGGACACCAGCGGAAATATGCCACTTTTTTGGCTATGTTCAGTTATAGTATGTATTACCCATACAGGATTAACAATTATAAAAAGAACCGTTATCTAGAACATATGTCTCGTTATAATAAAGAACCCTCCTTATTGAATTTAATAGGTTTTCGTTCTGTGTAGCTTTATTATTACTAATCCAGGGTATCTGAGGTCTGTACTTGGTATTTAATATAAGAAATGCATCAATTATAAAATTTTCATGGATAAAGAACGTCAGTCCCAGAAGAAAAACAACTTGTTTCCTCCTCCTCCTTCTATCTCCCCTTAAAAAAAAACCAGTCTTGGAAGAGCAGCTAACATAGGACACAACTGGCAACTGTAACCACACAAACTATAAGTACCGTCGCTCATCGTGGTTCTAGCATCAGTTCCATCCTGTCAAGCAACATGCAGTTGGTAAGTCTACCATCCATTTGTTTCAGTGTGGACATTGTTATTAGCTGCTAGACACGAAGCCAGCAGAAAGTTTGCCTAAACATTTAAAGGACAAAACGCCTGAAACAATATTAAAATTTTATAGAGCATTTGTCGAGGCTCATCATGCATTAATTTTCAGTTTTGATTCCCAAATTACATTTAAAAGAAAGATGAATTTGACAGTGAACAAAAAATGTTTTCTAAACTATCACCTTCATTAATGATAAAAATTATATGGCGAAAATACTCAAACAACTTACTCTCTTATCAGTTAGTAAACTGAGACTACAGGAGTTCTTTTAAACCTAAAAGAAAACAAAATATTCTAACCCGAATAACTATTTTTGAGGAGCAAAGATATTCAACATTGTAAAAAATGACAAATAGCAAAGAATGAAAAAAAAAGTAGTTTTTTGCAAGCAGAATTATGGAACATAGTAATAGACTCCTCTCTGAAATTGTATGTACTTAGTGACAAACTGTTTTGAAATGTTTTGTTTAACTGGATATACAGCATAAACTGACTACTTACAATGGCAGTCAATCAAGTTCTGTAACTGACTGATTCTACTGGAACCCTGACAGTTGTTCTAGAACTACTTCAGAAGGGCCCGTTTGCTTACGGTAGAGAAGCTAGGAGTACCATAAGAGGTAACTGCAGTATATTTTTAACAGATTTCAAGCATTCCAAATATATTTTCATGCTAATGCTGCGAATGTGATTTATCTAGTCAGAGTATTGGTAATGGAGATGTAATTAGTCTATAACTGATAGACTGTGCGAGGGTTACTGGTATTTTGCAATCTACCTTTCACTTTTTATCACTATTCAGTGATACTATAACATACAATTTAAAAATAATAATGGGTCCTTTTACAGGTAGTTCTTGCCGTGCTGGCCTCTGTGGCCATTGCTGCCCCCCAGTACGCAGCCCCAGCTCCATCTCCTTCTCGCTACAGTGATGATGACTCTAAAGAGAATGTTCCCATCCTGAGGGACGAACGCGTCCACGAAGAGGACGGAACTTACTCCGTCGCAGTAGAGACTGGTGACGGAATCCAAGTGTCAGAATCTGGAGCCCCCACCGGTCCCGATGGCGCTATTGAATCTTCTGGACAATATTCGTGAGTATAAAATTTTCCTAAACTTGTTTTTGCAATTGTGTTCAATAATTTGCAATTATATGTGTTCATAGCTTACTTAACACAGTGTCTCATGAATATACAGTGGACCCCCGCTTAACGATCACCTCCAAATGCGACCAATTATGTAAGTGTATTTATGTAAGTGCGTTTGTACGTGTATGTTTGGGGGTCTGAAATGGACTAATCTACTTCACAATATTCCATATGGGAAAAAATTCGGTCAGTACTGGCACCTGAACATACTACTGGAATGAAAAAAGTTCGTTAACCGGGGGTCCACTGTACTTCCTACAGTTACACAGCTCCTGACGGCACAAAAGTCTCTCTATCTTACGTCGCCGATGAGAATGGCTTCCAGCCCCAGTCTGACTTACTGCCAGTGGCTCCTGAGTTCCCCCACGAAATCCCTGAATTCGTTCGTGAGCAGATTGCCTTCGCTGCTAAGGAAGACGCTGAACGCGAGCGCGAAGAGGCCAAAGGTCCCTCCAGAGTGTATGGCCCCCCTCAGTAAATTATTACTTTGGTGCTGATTAATCAAATATCGACAAAATGTTGTATGGACTTTATATGTGAATTACTTGTGCTGTTTCCATCCTTTGTATTTATAAACTGTTGAAGTAAAACCGAGCAAAGTTAAGCTGTATTTTTATTTGTAAGGAATCCTGGAATCGGTACTTCTAAGTGGATGACTGTATTTCATTCCTCCAAGGTTTTCACTTAAAACTTGAACATCTGACACGATCACTTTACAATTTTAAATGTTTGTTTACTGTAACTAATGAAAAATTCAAGCAATTACTGAAATTTGCAAGTGCACTCTGGTAAGTTGTATGTAGACCATTTCAGGTATTTGAAATGTGTTTATTAACTTGAGTAAGCCTCTTCTGATAGCCTTCAAACCTTCAACTCTAGTGTATCTTAGAAAAAGATTGAAACTGTTATTAGAGTAGGTATGTGACAATCTGTCAATTTTAATTTTTAAAAAGGTGTGCTATTTTTTTCGTTAAATAACCTGAGTATGTCTTTTTGAACGGCTCCAATCTTTAATGACATATGAATTCTATGGACAGAATGATACCCTCTGAGTTTAGGTGTAAATAAAAATTTGCCAATTTATTTGTATAGCTAAAAACCTTGAAATATTGAATTCTGAGCAATGGCTGAAAAATGCCTCAATAAAGCTTAATGTTAATTTTGGGATGTGTTAGTTTCTTTCCTAAACTGTTTTATAAACTGTATTCTGTGCAATAACTGTAGAATGCCTCTAACCAGTTTCAGACTCAGAATGCTTGTGTACCCTAATCAGATTATTTTTTGACTGATCTAGGACTGTGCATGTGCAAATTTAAAAAAAATGGAAGACTGAAATATTGTTTGTGATTATTTGTGAATTGCTCATCAAATCAATATTAAAACTTCAACGCAGATATATCGTAGATGAAGCGTTGAATTAGTATTAGTTGTGTAGGGACCACTTAGTAAAATTTTAATTTAACCCCTTGAGCTATCCTTGGCAATTAGGTATTATCGATAAATTGAAATAAAATATTATTGAAATACTGAAAACTAGCCTTTTCGTGACTTTTAAGCTTCACAAGTTTAGTGAGCCCTTAAATATTATATTTTCGTACAACTTAGTTGATGAACCAGTCATTTACTCAGGAACAGTTTTCTTCTCTTTCTCCCAGGCTTTCTTTTATAATTTGAGAACGCCTCATCTGATCGGCTTCAAATTTCTTATAGTATTGAAAACCTATAATTAAGGAAAACTTCACGGAATTATTTTAATGGTATAGATTTTGAGAACTCCTCTTCTGATCAGCTTCAAACCTTCAACACTGGGAACATCCTTATTAGAAAAAAAATGGAATTGTTATTGGAGTGTTGATACAAGTATATCTCTTCTCTTAAGCTTTAACATTTAATAGCTGAGGCAGCTTATGAAAAAGATGATACTTCTAGGCTTGCCTGTGTAGGTGCAAATTGGTTAATTTACGAACATAATTAATGGACTTGGAATTTTTAAATTCCGGCTTCAACTTCAAATCTTCGTTCATTTAACTTATGCAAAAAGCTTTAGTTTACATTGAACTATTTAATTGGCAGTTTTCCGGTTTTATTAAAGAAATGGGGAAAACTGGAAGACTGGTTTTGATGCAATAATTTGTGCCTCGTCCAATCATCTTTTAACTATCAAAGACGATAACTTGCCTAAGCATCTTCTGAGCGATTTCAGGTATAAAGTGCTGGAGTTTCGTAGAAATACCTCATCTCGCCTATAATATTTTTGATGTGTTCATTTTACAACCAGAAATGACTTTTTGAAAAAGCTTTCAAAACATCTAGATTTTTAAAAAGGACGCATATCTTAATGGATTTAAGTAAAGCAAGAATTTTAATCAAGTTGGTATAGTATGGTGGTAACAACATATTTTTGTAGTAATGTTGGAAGAACTATCGACAATAAGTTACATAAAAGGACATGTGGAACTAATGTGACAATTTATTGTAGCAAAGTTTCGCTATCCAGGAGCTTTGTCAAGCCTTAAAATACTTCTGGCTGAGTAATGTCCATTGTCTTTTAGTCTGTAATTTGTATTCTTAGTAATTTTAAAATATTCTTCAATAAAAACTTTAGGGTGCTTTTGGCCACCTCATATTAGAAGCTATTTAATATTTTATTGGACTCTGTATTACAGAAACAGAGCCCTTAAGAAAATGGAAGAAAAATTAAATTTAGTTATTTATGACATGTAACTAATAACACTTTATCCTGCCATGTATTAATTATATTATTCATTTTGATTTGTAATTCTTGGTCCATTTCATCAATAAAAACATCAAAAAAATTTTAATTATTGATTGAATGGTTTTAGAATAACTAATTTAAATATAAATTCCTGGGCCATAAGCATGGGATATCAACCAAGTTTTAGTTTAATTTTGGAATATGGGAAAAAGTCTGTCCCTCTTGTTTAGTTTGAAATAAATCCACATACAAAATATTAAGGAGTAGGGGAAGAGGATTTCCCATTCATATATCCAACATTTAGCTGTAGAATTCATATTAAAACTAAAATTGTATCGACAATGCACAGTTTAAAATGTATGTGATTTCAGAAATGAAATTATAAATTGTAAAAGGGCTGTTTTTAATTTGGTGACACCCATGTAGAAATTAACGTTGTAGTATACATGAATACGCTGAATTCTCTAATATAAGTTGAATTGCTTTTATTTGCCTCACAGAATTCTTTTCTCTTCCGTTAATGGTTTTGAACTAGTGGTGGTGTTGGATGTAGACAGCTGTGAGAGCTTAGATGGAAGTCAACGCAGGGAAGAACCTTAACCCACGTGCTTAGAAGACTGTTTTCAAGAGGAAATTTTTGCATGATAATCCCAATTGTTCTATAACTTTATTGCTGCATCACCCTAACAAAAACGAAGGAACTCCATATAATTCCATATTGCCTTAGATTACGCAACGGCTTTTTTACGTGTTCAGGCTCCACTGAATATAAAAGATATTGGGATAATTAAATCCAACAGAGCATATAGAACTAACTATTAAAATTCCTGGGATACTTGTTATAAGTTGGGAGTTGTATACACTAATTCACTCCTCAATACCATCCAAACCAGCCCAAATTTTCCAACCACCTCCCACGCAACGCACAATCATCGAATTCCATCCCAGCCCCAAACCCACCAGAGACCACAACCTGGAAACTTCCATCACACCACCCACATCGACCCGAAACCCATAGATCTGTTCTCTGACACGGCGACACCCCTAAAAAACAAACAAGGAGCCCAAACCCCCCCACCCAACTCCACCGCCACACTCCCTCACTTACCAACACCACTTGGGGGGGAACAAAAACAATATTTCCACCCCCCACCCCGCCCACCCGCCGACCCCCCTCCCCCCCCCCCGGAATTACCAACAGCGAAAAAATACCTAAAAAAACCCCTCCACAAATCTCAAACCACCCCCACCCCCAAACAACCCCCCCCCTCCCGAGGAACCACGGACCGCATCCACAACCCTACCCACTGTATCGCCCCCCTCCGCGCTACCGCACTCCGGGCCCCCGGGCCACCCCCCTTCCCCTTATCAGGACAGGTCCCCCGCCCCAGCAGCAGCCCCTCCAGCCCCCTTCCCGACCCCAAGCTCCCCACCGACCACGCACCACCACCACCACCTCAACTACTAATCCTCCTACACCTACTTATTGACAGCACGCCACACCTATACCCACAGGGTGGAACACCTCCCCTCCCTCTCTCCAACCCCCGCACGCCCCCACCACTTCTTCACACCACCCCCTGGGTGGACATAACGGGTGCTCCCCACCACATACCCCAAGGAACCCAACCCGGTATCCGGGGGGTGGGGCCCCCACACCCATCCACCAAACAAACAAAACCCAAAAAAACACCCACCCCCTGGCGTTCATCCCCCCGACCCCCTCCCCTCCTCCCCTCGGCCGGGGCGGGGGTGCCATCGGCACGTGGACCCCATACCCTCTGATGAAGAATGCGAAGACGCCAGGCTGGCAGGCCACTACGCCACGTGCGCGGCCTAAGCGACTCGCCTCTCCCACGCCCCCCTCCCCTAGCTATCTCCAGGAAAGTGTGGCGGGCGGTGGCCCCGTTCTGGGGCCCCGCTGACTCCGATTCATGTTTCACGATGCAGAGAAACCACCAGCTCTCGCAGGGCGGGTCTAAGAAGGACCTGACCACAACCAACGTCCTACCTCTCCTTCCCACCACATCAACGTATGCCCTCCCACCTCTTGTTGTTGCAAACCATTTTTCCCCACCTTCTCCCCATTCCTACCCTACCTCCATTTCATGGCAGCCATTCTCATCGGCAACAAAAGACAGAGAAGATTTTGTGCCGTCAGGAGCCTGTGAAACTGTTGGAAACATATTCATGATACACAATGTAAAGTAAGAAGTTTTAAAAAACGCACATTGTTTTACAAAAAAAAAAAAGAATTTAATGTACATGAAAACTTACGAATATTGTCCAGAGATTATTTCATTGCAACCTCGGGGGACCGGTGGGCCTCCAGTAATGCGGACAACTGGAGCCGTCACCAGTCTCTACCGAGACGGAGTAACTTCCGTCATCTTCGTGGACACGTTCGTCCTTCAGGATTGGAACATGCTCTTTAGAGTCATCATCACCGTAGCGAGAAGGAGATGGAGCTGGGGCTTCGTACTGGGGGGCAGCAATGGCCACAGAGGCCAGCACGGCAAGAATGATCTGTAAAACACATAATTTCTAATCTGATAATCTGTGCGTCTCATTATCGAGAACAGAGAGAAGGGCCAATTGTCTAAGTATAGATTTTTATTAATCTATATTTGTAAAGAATTTTTTTCAGAACAGTTCGCTGTGATATATAAAACGGTAAAGTGACTTACTAACTGCATGATGCTTGACACAGTTTGATACTGATGCTAGAATTAAGCAGAGCGACAGTATTTATAGGCCAGTGCAGTCGTTGTTGCCAGATTTGCTGTATTCTAGTTGCTCCACCAAGACTAGTTTTTTTTTCTAACGAGTGCCATTCTCGTATCAAATTAAAAATAATTTACTTATTCATTGGCATTCGCTTCATCTCTTATGTTGTT